TGGCACAATTGAAAATTGGCTCAGCCCGAAGTCCGCGAGTGCGAGTGAGAGAGCTGATGAGCGAGAGGGCGAATTGTAGTTGGTGTCGGAATTGGAATCGGAGGCGACTTCAAGTTCGGGTAATTGGATCCCGTGAGCAACTGTTTGCTTTCTGGGCACTGCAGCAACTTCCTTCTGCCTTTTGTTCTGGCCATTAGCGTGTGCAATGTGCGCTCGCTGGATTTTGGACGCAAGTTGGTGATTGTGCCGCTGGCACCTCGCACAGCTTGCGGTCCATGCGCAGTCCGGGAGGGAGATGCAGCACTTCAATTGCCTCCTGCAGCCAGCCGTAGGCGCATTTTAGTCACACATCACTTGGCACTTGGCAGTTGACAGTTGGCAGTTGGCAGTTGAATTTTGTCGCAGTTGCCATCATAGTTGCAGCCACGTGCCGCATAAACAAAGGCTTGACTTTTGGCCGGGCTGGGCAGGCAGAAGCCCCCACGCACTCCCGACTTTTGGCTAACGGGACTTGGCCCCGGCGCCGCCAATGACAGCAAAAAACAGAAAGAGCCCGAGAAAGAAAAGGGGAAAAAATCCAAATATCGTATCGTCTTACTGCCCTGTGAGAACCTTTTGACATTGGCGTGTGCCTGGGCAACGACTCCACATGCCGCTCGTCGCTCGCCGTTCGGGCTTGGGCTCTGATTGCGCTGCGCACAGTTAGAATTGATTGAAAATTGGTTAACCGCAGAGGCAATTGCGCAGCGAATTGCAAATCGAAGATGATGCCGTAACCGAATAATAGCGCCCAGCATCTTAATCTAAAGCCGCCCCAGCCAGCGCCGTGTAACTCCATCAGCAGCGATTTGCATGCAACGCACTCAAATTGGGCCGCAGGTTCAAAACCAGTAGCCGCCTGTTGTTGCAGTTGTTGTAGTTGTTGCAGCAGCCACAGCCGCAGTCTGAGTAATTTGCAGCGTTTAACTGGCGGCGGGGGCCAGCGGCAAATCGATTTCTGCAGCTTCTGGCGCCACAAACCGATTTACAAGAGACAAGCATGGGGCGGGGGGCGGGGGGGCGAGGGAGTGGTGCACGACTCGACTCAATATTGATTTAGACTTAACCTTGCCGCACAGTCGAGCCGCCCCCGTCGCTGACCTTCAGCTACATAAATTTCGCACAGCTTCCGCTCGCATCCTTCGGCCCGGCTTCCGGCGTGCGCGCGCGCGCTGACATCTAATTTGATAAACACGCACAAATTTATTGATAACGGAAACGGGCGAGTCCAAGGCGAAAGAATGGCTTCGACTTGCGTCCAATGTGCGCAACAAATTGCCTGTGTAATCAAAAAGCTTCCTCCAGCACCGACCCCTGCTCCTGCTCCTGCCCCTGCTCCTGCTCCGGCATAACAAAAGTTGTCAATTAGCCAGGAAGAGCGAGCAGGACGCCGAACGCATTGCAGCAGCTTCCGGTGTGAAAGCATTTTGTCAGCTTGGACGCACAAAAGGCGCCCCCACAGAGCGTAGCCGGCCTCAAGATGTTCGCCGGCAGAGAGATCCATAAAAAAACGACGCCTGGACTCCTTTGTGCCAGCGACTCGCGCTTTCTCAATAACCATTTCAGCACAGTGAATCGTAGGATAACGATCTATCAAAATGCTAATGCTGCTATTTCTATCCACTGAACTGTAACTGGTCAATCGAATTATGCAAATCTGGCATTTCAAGCGAACAATCAATGTCCGATATTACCATTGGATATATGTATGCATACCATATGTGGCCATTAAAAAATCTATGTAGAACCAAGTGAGTATATCTCCTCTTATATAGAGAGAGAGAGAGAGACAGAAAGAGAACCCTGCTTTATATAGGACATACAAACAGTTCCTTGTAAACAATATATGAGAAACTCGATTCATTTAAATTTGAACTATATATTGAAATTAAGACAATATGTACATTTATTCAAATAATAATATTCATACAAAGTAAAGATATTAATGTTATATAGCGACGTCATTTGTAATATGGAATATGCTCATAATAGCTGCAAAGAAAATTATTCGAAATTTGTTAGGTAAGAACAACAAAATATATATGGAGCCGCTTAACTCAATCAAGAGAATATATTATAATAAATAACAAGAGAGCTCTAATCGAGACTGCTCGACTAGGAGATACCCTGAACTGAGCGAACATCTTTTCTAATCATTCAGATGTTCTTTTACTCACATATACACAAACACATGCATACGTACATACACATGCTCTTTTAACAGTCCATAAATTATAGCATTTCGTCATCAGGATGACAAGCTGAGCCAATATAGTCACATCCGGTTTCTAGTGCATCCAAGCTAGAATAAGAAAGATTTGACTACATACATACATATACCTAATGCAGTTAGATCGTAATATTTTCGTCGATATCCCAACTCTCAATTATTCATAAACAGCTGTTGGCATTTTCTTTAAGCATAGCTTAAAGACGAAAAAATATGTTGTGCATCTCGGATTTTAGACAATTTCTACCGTCTCAATATATCTGCCTGAATTTTGATCACGTTTTAAATACTACAAATAGTTGGACTTCGACAAAAACTCAAATTTGATATAACGTTATGAAAATTTGATCAGCAAAGTCCATCCAAAAGAAAAGTTATTGTAGACTGCGTAGTGTTCAGGATATCTCCTAGTCAAGCACTCCCTACTAGAGCACTCTCTACTTGAGTTCGATTAAGAGTAACATCATCTATGGTGCTACAATGTGTGAGCAGCCCCCAACAAATTACTAATCCTGCCTGCTGCGACTTTACCCAAGATCTCTGAAATAGTAGTTGACTAAGAGAGCGTTTAGAATCCAATGTCAGACATTTGAGTGAATTATTAATAAGATCGATAAGAACTTGTAGAGCTTGGAGGTGCGAACGGACGGTGCGGTAGTGCGCCAGTATTGTACGCTCCATTTAAACCACAAATTTGCAGCCTAATAACAGTTTGTCAAGACATTCGATCTATGATCGTACTTCCAGAGAGAAGAAGTATAGGATTTGCAAAGTCAATAGGTATTATTCTATGGGTATTGCCAGCAAATGACATTGAAATTAACAATTTATTTAGACGCAATCATACTCTACAGGGTGGCTGCCTCTTCAGGGTGAGACCATGAACAATGTTGACAGTAAACATCGTTTGTGCTGCTTGTGAAATCTGTTTATCCAATACAATTGAATGAAGCTTGATAAAATGATACAATCCTATTAGCTGCCACAGTTTACCGCCCTTCTTTCGGTTATCCGTCTTGACTATTTCGAGACTCAGCTGTCAGAAATCTCCACAAGACGAAGTCTGCATTACTTAAGTCGGCTGTAGAGTATTGGGAGATTAGACGACTCGGAAAGCCTTACTTCACTTTTTCCGCATTCTTAAGGCACAGGGATAAAGAGAAACTTTTCATTTATTTATATCACCAATATATTAGAGTCTTTTATAATAGGTAGACTACCTTTGCCCCACTCCATCTAGGAATCGCACCTCTACATTTAATCTTTGGCATAGCTAGCACAGTACTTAGCTCTTGTTCATTGATTTCACTTCGATTGCCCGATTCATGGGACTTTCATTCGTGTATACATATATGTACATATATAGCCGCATATATGTCGAATCAGTGTTAATTAGTCGTTCGGTTTGTGGCTACGACAGCATCCTTTACGCACATTTGCTCAGCTCGTTCGACGCGGATGCCAATGGCTAACGAATGCTAATGGCTGCATGGGAAAAGTTTCGCACGGTCGTGCGGCACTCATAAATTTATGAGTGGCACTCGTAAAAATGCAAATCGCTGCCAGAGAGAAAAGCGCAACAAATAATCAATTTGTTACAGAGGCGCTGCGACAGGACCACGAGCAGGCGGCGGCGCCCAAGGATGCGAAGGCCCAGTTTGCATGCTCTACGCACGCAGCTCGAACCCTCCTGAGGCAAGCAGGACTTGGAGGACGCAGTGCGTTGCGTTGGCCACTTCACGCAACAGCCGCAGTTGGAGTGGATCGACTCTAGGCTAGGAGGAGGATGGGCTCAGCCACAGCCTCAGTCGCAGCCGCAGTCTCGGTTCGTCTCGTCTCGTCTCGTCTTGGGGGTTGGGCTCGAGGCTGAGAGGCAGCGCAAATCGAATTCGCTTAGCCGCAACCCCGTAAATTAAGAGCAACAAGCGCTGTTGCCTTTGTCAAACAAAAGTTGCGAAAATGGCAAGCGGCAACTAAATAAGCAAAACAAACAGCAGGCCGCGCCACATACAAGCTCATATCAAAGTGACTGCCCTCATCCCTCCACTTCCCCGCACCCCACCTCGATGACAGCCAGCCCTTGAGGGTTGCAAGTCAATTAGAAACGATTCGAGGCAGCTCGGCGCACTCGAACGCCGCGCAATGCCGCGCAACGCCGTCTTTTACTGTGAGAGCTCAGCGAGTTGCGCGTCGCCCGTGAAGAGCTGCGGGAACTTCAGTTCCGCTCAAGATTGGCAAATGTTAACAATTTGCAAGTGGCACACACAGTTTAGGGCACGGCCTTCCCAGGGCTAGGGCCAGGGCCAAAATGCAACAGTTTTTCAAGAGGCTCCGGCCAAGAGACTCGTGTGTCAGCTCGCATTACGCTCAGGACGTGAAGGACCGCGACTTGACTCGGCCACTCGGCCAGCCACTCGAGCGCACAGTTGCAAAAACAAAGGCTCTCGCATCTCGATTGCTCTTTTCCAGCTCCTTCTCATTCTCGATTTCGGATTCGATTTCGATCTCGAGTCCGGACTCTCACTCTCACTCTATCGTTCTTATTTTTTGCTCTTTTATTTGTTACAACACACAATAGACGTCTTAAGACTAGGCACAAAAAAATACTAAAGATAAGAAAAAAAAATGGGTTTAAAAAAAAAAAAAAAAAAAATTCCCTGCTTATGTACAAAACATTTACAAAAATGTACAAAAATCCTTTAAACTACGTTTTAAATATTTTTATATCGAGAAAAAAAAAATACACTACGACTACATGCATATATATTATTTATATATAGTATATTATTTATAGATCTACTTCATATTTGTTGCGAGACATTTCGTAGTCGCCCTCTGAGATCCAGCCTTGCTGCTGCGGCCGCTGCTCTGGCTCACACCTCGAGCGCCAGCTCCTCGTCCTCTTCGTCCTCGTCGACGTCGACCGCTGGCAGCGCCGTCAGCGTCGTCAGCTCCCCGCGCTCCGCCTCCAGCGGCGGCGTCTTGGCGGCCGACGCCAGTGGCGCCTCCTCGGCTGGGCCGTGATCGCGGCGCGGCGGCGGGCTGCCCGGATTGAGGGGCGGACTCGGCGTCAGCAAGCGCTGCCGACTGCTGCTGCTGCGCTCGTAGTCGGCCTCGCTGTTTGCGCTCTGGCTGGTCGCCGGCGAGCGCTCGCGCGGCGCCAGCGGCGGCGCATAGTAGCCGCCCAGCATGGGCGCGGCTCCCGGCGGCGGCGGCATGCCCGGCAGCCCCATGCCCGGCGGCATGCGGCTGGGGTACATGTAGGTGGCGGGCAGCGCCGGCTTCTGCAGCGCAGCGGCGGCCGCCGCCTGCCGGTAGTAGATGTCGATGGCCGAGGGCGGGGCGCCGTGTGGCGTCTGGGCCGCGGCGGCGGCTGCGTACGGCCAGGCGCTCAAATAGGGCGTGGCGCTGCCGTAGAGCCGCTGAAAGGCCGCGTAGTTGCCGGCCTCGGCGAGCAGCTCCAGGCCCACGGCGGTTTGGCGCTTCCACTTGGTTCTGTCAAAGGCAAACAAGAAGAAGAGAAGGAGAAAAACTCGATTAGTTGCGTGTCGAATGCTAAAAAAAGAAGGCAGCAAAACGAAAAACTACGAATGGGCATTAGGCAGCAGGCCTCGATCTAAGCCAAACTAATCCGCAATGACGGCTGCTGAGGCTGCCTCCTGCTATTAATCATGCCACAGAGTGCCGACTCATGCCGCTGACTGCGCGTGTCCTTGCCGCCCGCTGAGCGCCAGGACGGCCGACCGACCACTCGCAGTCGCCGTCAGTTGCCCTTTGCTATTATTGCTGTTTATATTTCGCACTTAATTGTTTTGTCATTTATCTTGCAGTCCCAACCGACGCACGCCCACCACAGAGACGCCAAGAGTGGAAGAGAGAGAGAGAGAGGGAGGGAGGGTGAGAGAGTGAGACCGGCCTAATTGGCTAGGCACGCCTGCACTTGCCCAAGGCGTAGCCAGAGAGCAAGAGCGAGAGCATCTTTGGCAAATCCTTTAATTGCGCCTAGGCGCCAGTCGGGCCAGCGTCGCGCCCGACGCTGAAGCTGAGCTGCAATTTTCGCGCGTTCATCGACTGCAGCTGTGAAAGTGTTTAACATTACCCAATACCCTACAGAGTTGGTCATATGCAATATGTTAAGGCACTTGGGCCACATGACCTAAATTAAGATTTTGCTATACACTCTAAATCTCTTTCTCTCTCTCTCTCTCTCTCTCTCTCTCTCTCTCTCTCTCTCTCTCTCTCTCTCTGTCTCACTCTCTTTTTGCAGGATAGAATGATGGTAAGAACTATTAAATACCCTGCAGCTGAGCATATGTCAAGACACTTTGACCACATGTCTCAAATGAAGATTATTACTACATTCCCCTAATCTCCCTCTGTCTCTAAATCTCTCTTTTTCTCTTTCTCTATCCAATATACATATAAAGGTATTAGCTTCATTACAATTAAGATTTTATTTTAGTAGAGAATATCTCTACCTCTTGCTCTCCCTCGCTCTCTATCTCTCTCTCTCTCATCCACACTCTTTTGGCAGTGCACTGGCAAGTCGTTGCAATCGAGTCAGCGAACTCTGCTCTCAATATCCGGTTGACTTTTTGCCCACCTATGGAAGATGCTGAGACTGCGGCCAGACTATAAATGTCTGAGTCGGAGTCGGAGTCGGAGTCTGAGTCGCCGCTTGAGTCTCCTCGCCGCTTTTAATGCCCGACGAAATGTGACAAGTCATTGGGCAATAATTAAAAATGAGAAAAATACAACAGCAGCAAATAATAATAAACGAGAGAAAGAAAGAGAGAGAAAAAAATGCTATTAAACGTAATAAGGCAGCGACTTTGGCAGCTATTTTTAAACAGCAGCAGCGGCAAATGCCATTAGAAATCGAATCGAATAGCGGATGACGCCGAGCTGCCCCTGATAGGCAGCACCGACAGCACATGCGCCATACGAAAGACTTAGGCAACAAACTTGCGGCGAGTGGTGAGAGGCGAGTGGCGAGTGGCGCACGAAAAAAGTAAACAACTCATTTAATAAACAGCAAAGCATTTTACGACTCTTGCGCAAAATGCAGCAAATTAAGCAATCAGCATAAAAACAAAACGCATAAACAGCGCCGGGCACTGATTCCGAACCGGTTCGCCGCTCGGCAGATGGGCAGACGGACAGACGGACAGCGGGCCGATGAAGTGAACCGAAACGGCTTTCGGGGGTAGCCATTAAAATGGTTTTTATTCGAAAAGTGCGCGAAAAAATGGGCGGTTCCATAAAAGGCGCTGATTAGCTAGCTAGTTGGCTAATCCACGTTCTGAGCAACCCCTTCCCCTGCCCCTGCGCCAGCCCTTTCCTTGGTTGGTTGATCAATCAAAGGTACCGACGACTCACCTGCGATTCTGATACCAGGTCTTCACCTGGCAGTCGCTCAGCTCCAGCTTGTTGGCCAGCTCCATGCGATCCTGCACGCTGAGATACTTCTGCCGCTCGAAGGACTTCTCCAGCGTCTGCAGCTGATGGTCGGTGAAGGCGGTGCGCGCCTTGCGCTGCTTCTTGCTCAGGCTGAGCCCCAAATGGGAGTCCCCATTGGCGCTGCTGTTGCCATTCTTCATGCTATCCTCGCCGTCATCGTCTTTGCCGCCTGTTTGAGATATATATGTAAACATATTAATGCTATATAAACATCACTCTCTCTCTCTCTCTCGCTTGCTTAGTTTTTCTCTTTCTTTATCCATCTATATATATATATACATTTGTCTAGCATCCAACTTGTACTTGGCTTTATGGCAAGAGCACATGCAACATGAGATAAACACAACAGCGGCCTGTGGCATGCCATTGCTAATTTGCAATTAAACACTTTATGAGCACAAATTACAACAACAACAATAATAATAAACAACAACGACAACACAATCACTCGATTTATCTCTCCTTTGCTGTGAAACGTGTGAAACGAAGCCTAACAAATCGCATAGCGAGTACTCAAAAATACTTTTGAGTCTGTTCGCTAATCCAATTTCATCATGGATCAACTTCTATTTATAAGCAATTCGCCATTTAATTGAGTTTTTCATTTTGCGAATAAACGTATTCTCAACTAAGTCGCAGCTGATGAGTTTGATTGGGTCTCCATGTGGAAGTACAACAGTCTGAAAATCTCATCATTTTTGCTTTCATGCATTGCCCAACAAGTCTTAATTGGTTTGCTTTACAAAGATATATATACACGAAAATCAAGTATAAATATAATTATTTTTTGCTCATATATTATACTATATACTACAAGTTTTAAATCTGTGTATCTTTATTTTGATATTTTGGCTGGCTTAGTGAAGAAAAGAAAAGACGAGATCAAAGATCAAGTAACATGATTAATATATAAATAAATTTTTGACTACAAATTTTAGTAATAACCAAAATATTAACAATTTACAAAAACAAATTAAAGTGACATATATTATAAATATTATCCTCAGTATTCAAGATGGTTTTTTCCTAAAAAATGTAAGTAAGATTGAACCTCAAGGCAGGAGAAAAATAAAGCATATTCCCCTTCTTTTTTTTAATAGTAGAGTTTACTAAAAAGTGATCAGAAATCATTTCAGCATTAGTTCAGCTTTCTGCCTATGTCCAATATTTGGTGTACTATTAAAACTTAATATAATGCGTTACTCTGAACCCATTTTATGTCTTGGCACTATTGTGACATCGAAGCGATAATATTCTGTCCTCGCTACAGAGGTGCGCAACACAGCCACAGCTGAATTTTCATCAATATATTTACAGATGTTAAATATTGTATATTCGAATAAGCACCAATTATTTCCTAGGTTTTTGGTTTCTATCGGTCAGTCAAAAACAAAACTAAATACATTATATATGTAAGGAAAATAAATATAATTGTACATTGTGTAAAAATTATGCAATTATATGTATTATTATTATTTTAATTATTTCGACATCCATGACATATTTAGCTTCAACAGATAAAGTATCTGCAAGCATCCCGATCATCTCTGTAACATCGCCATTTGCCAATTCTGCTGGACAAGCATTTGACTATGTCTCTACTCATCCGTACTCTATGCCAATCGCATAGGCAATAATCCCTTGATAAATATCTAAGCAGGCGTTCAAGCTCACACTTGGATATTGAAAAATATTAATAGGAAATTCGTTTTTCTTTTTGCTTACTAGATTTACAGTATCATCTCCTCTCTTGCTTTGTCTGTCTGTCTGCTAGTTTGTTGTGTGTATAGCTATCGTGTATTTCCTTTTCACCCTTTTTAGCCATGTTTGTTGTGGCCGAGTGTGCATGCACTTAAAACCAGTCAACACACAGCTGGCAGCTGCTCGCTGCTCGCTGCTAGTCGAAACTCAGGCGGCAAAACATTTCCGCAATATCTCCATCTCGCTCTCAAGTAGTGCCCCCCTCTCACTCGCCGTGCATTAGTAATTAAGAGCTTGTGGCTAAACTGTATTAAACATGCTTAACTGTGCAGACAAAAACGCTGTTGGCGCACTTCCTTCTGCCTTCTGACTGTCTCAGCGCTTGGCCAAGTTTTGTTGCTGTTGCTGCTGCTGCTGCTGCTGCTGGCTGCATTAAATTGCGCATGGCAGCAACACATTTGCAATTGGCCTTTTTGCATTTTAATTAAAGCAACAACAAGTCTCATTTAGCTGCCTTGCGCTGCTCTTGTTCATTTTTGTTGCTAAACGTTTATCAGCATTTTGATAATGTGCACGCCTAAATGCAGTCAGCAACAACAGCAACAACAACAGCAACAACAACAACAGCAGCAGAAACTAAAAATGTAAATGCTACAATAATGCTTGCATAACGGTAACGCGATTGTATGCATTATCATATATAACTATGCATTGTGTCTAGAAATTTTGCGCTGCCTTTCCGAAAACACAAAAAATCACAAAGAAAACGAAAGACTTAGGCAACGAACTTGCTGTGGCTAAGCCAGCTATACGCAGACGTATTACTGTATGAGTTTTTGTGAGTGTGTGTGTGTGTGCACTTGCTCCATGTAGTTGTTGTTGTCTTTGTTGTTTGTTGTTGTTGCTGTTGCTTTTAGCGGCCACACGCTTCGCTTGGAAGCCAACTTAAAGTTTAAGAAACGAGACGAAACAAAATATTAATTTCAATCAACGATATATATATATATTTTTATAAATATAAGCAGCGAACAGCAACAAAGCAGAGCACAAAGAATGTGAGACGAGTGCGAGAAGGGGAGGGGTGGCGGGTAGAGAGGTGTGATACGAGTGTCTGCATGTCGCTGCGGATCAGCGCACAGTTCATTTGACAGACGGCGACTCAGCTCAGAGTAGCGGCTCGAATCAAGCTAAAGCTCAATTTCAAACGCGCTGCGCGCCTGCGATGCGAGAAGCTCCTTATCCTCACTCGCATCCTGAGCGATCCTGGGACGGGTCGGAGCACTGCGGATCGGGTCGTGTCCGATGTGCAACTGTCGCTCGCACGCGTCTCAAGTGACACGCGAGTGTCACCAAAGCCCTGAGGTGAGCAACAAATTTCAGTTACGAGCAACAACAACAACAACAGCAAGAGCAACTCGAAGCGCATTCTTGTTCTGTTGCTGGCGAGCTTCGATTAGGCCATTTAAATTAACGTTTTTTTTTTTTTTGCGTTGCGATTATAAGAGGCACACAAAAAAAAAAGCAGATCCAGCCAAAAGGGATGCGACTAAATAATACCCTGGAACAACGCAATGAAATTTGAACTAGTTTTTTGCTAGTAGTCAAAGAAAATGGAGAAAAATGGGGAGAAAGAGAGAAACAGAGAGAGAGAGAGCAAGTATGATATGTATCTACATAAATTTAAAATGCACGCAGATTGAAGAAATCAGTCCAACATAGATATTTATCGATATTTAAAAAATATTAGGTTGCAAACCGAGAATCTTAGCTAAATAATAAATAAAATAAAGAGCGAAAATTAGAACAGCAAACTAAAATAAGCTTCAAATCAATATTTATCGATGTATGCGAAAAGATTATTTAGACTTTAGTTTGGCTCAAGTAACGCCATGCAATCGCAAAACATATAGCAGAAGAGATCACCGAATATATCTATCTATTACTAAAACTATGTCAAAATTGTATATTTTATATTGATTTTATCGATACTATATCAGTTGAAGATGCAATCAAAGTTAAGTAACTTTATATATTTATGAAGCTTAATAAAGCAAAATATATGTTAGAAATAATTATATATATATATGTAGCCTTTCTCGAGTTGAATATCACTTTTGTTAAATATTCCCAATATCTACAGGGTATATTAAATATAATAAAATTAAGGGGAAAATAATCTGTTTTTTTTTTTCATTTGTTTTTTTTTTTCTTTTTTACTGCTTTTTTTTCTTTCTTTTTGTTTTTGTTGACTGCCCCGAAATCGAAGCTCGCAGCGTGGGCTAAAAACTCGACCCAACTGTGAAAGAGAATCGACATCCAGCTGATTAAAAGCGTGTGCGAGCGTGTGCGTCTGTGTGTGTGTGTGTGTGTGTGTGTGTGGGCTGGGTGTTGTTATGGCTGTGACTGTGGTGTGGCCAACACATTTATGGATTTTAAATTTCTTTCATTTGGCTTGTGTCTCAAATCAAAACAGAATTTCTTGAATTGACAGCGACGCGGGGCGCATTTCTCCCTCCACTCATACACACCTCTCTCCCTCTCTCTTTCTCTCTCTCTCTGTCTTCTTTCTGTGATGTTGATTATATTTAATTAAGTTTAGCACAAGTCCAACGATATTAGAATTGTGCGTGAAATCGCGAATGAGTTTAAAAACGTCGGTTGATCAAATCGAATCATTAATAGGCCTAAACAGTTTAATTCGTATGAATATCGTGTCTAAATTATGATTTATAGATGGATAACTTTCTTCATAGATAAATGACTATATAGCCAGATGAAAGTGTGACTCGAAAGAACGTAATTTAATGTGGCTTTCATTAAAGTCTTTCCTTATAAATCCAAAAATTATTACTCATTGAAATTATCTTAATTTAATTTAATTTAATTTAATTTAATCTCAATCATTTTTTGTGACTCATAAGCTCCAGTTATATTATTTTGAGCGTTCCTTTATTCACCTCCGATTGTTGGCCCTGTTCTGATTTTTATTGAGCCATAACAAAACGCTATCGCTGTCTGCCAATTAGGCTTAAATGGATTTTTTATGCTTCTCCCTTTCGTATTGTTTTATGTTTCGATAATGAAAATCAATTTCAAATTGTAATGCTGCATATGAAATCCATTGTTGTTTATGCAGAATGTCGTCAGCGTTGATTCGAATACAAAGAAATTTTGTCGGCCAGAGTTTTGGGCCCAGTTCCAGTCGTTTAGCAATAGAATCAAACTAGTCAGTCGACAGATTCTTGCCCTCTCTCCTTCTTTCTCGTTGTCTCTCTCCCTCTCTCTATAGTGTTTGCCATAGCAGCTCACACAACTCGCAGCGAAATCAATTTCCAACGCACGTTTACGACTATTTAATAGTAATTTGTCATAATTTGCATAACGTTTAAAAGCGCTTAACAAATAAATAATAATAATAAAAAAAGAAACACAGGCAGCAACAACAGCAGCAGCGACAACAAAAGTCAAATACAAATGCTGCTAATGGCAGCAACAACAACAACAGAAAACATTAAAATCAATTAAATTGTTGCATGCGAAAAGCCGTCCGAGCTCAGGTGGCAGCCAGCAGGCAGCAGGTGGCAGGTGGCACTTGACAGGTAGCCCGAATGAATAGAACGTGGGCTTTTGCCCGAAGCTGAAGCTGTTGCCGTTATCGTCTCCGATATTTGGGTGCTCTGCCAAGGATAGCTACTTGAGCTACTTGAGACTGAATGACTAACTGAAACCTCGTAATATATCCACATAATTAAGAACTGTGAACAGCTTAGCTGCATTGTTGGCAGTGAATCAGTTAATCAGTCAATCAGCTAGCAGCCGCTGTTGTTGTAGGCAGACTCATGTATATATTATATATATTTTTATCTACATTCCCAACTAAGCTTAATGCATTTTTTGTTTCTCTTCCTTTTCAGTTGCAGCTCAGCCACAAACCGCATTTACAGCCAGCTGCTGCTGTTGCAAAGCACGTGAGCCATGCTAAGATGGAAAAGCTTTAGGGGAAATGTGAAAACACAATGCACATCACAAATTGATTTCATATTTGCAGCTAAAACGTTTCAGAAAATGCAACAAACCACAATTTCCTCATTATCTAATTATTTCACTTTGAATAAGCCCAACTTAGCTGAAAAGCTTTTTTAAAATCCCGAATCAAAATATTTTTGTTGTTGCCTAACAATAACAATAAATAAATAAATAATAAATAATTTTTTAAGTGAACTAAAATGAAATATTTATAATTGACTTGAGCTATCTCTGTTATGTGTAAACTATGAATAAATGGTTCCTTCTTGCTTAAGCAATGTCCATGATATACATGAAAAGCTCCCATAAGACTCATTACATCAAGCGCACTTAGCTCGCAGGAATTATATTGTTAATTTAAAATTTAAAAATTGGATTAAAATTAAATTAATTTTAAAATTAACTTAAGACTTTCCAATGCTCTATCAATATTAACAACAACAAAAAGCGATTCTTCTGATAAGCTCTAAATTGTCTCTTAGTCTCTTTCTATAGTTTAGTTCATTGACTGATAAGAAACAACTAAACTTTAAATAGCGCAATCCAAAGCTCATTTTAAGTACATTAAAAGAATACATAGACCACATTCAAAGCTCGCTTCAAACCCGCTTACATTTCAGTTCAAATTTAAAATTCACTGAATGTCCTTTCTTCAATTAAACATCTTTAGAAAAAAGCTCACTTTAAGTACATTTTCAAAGTGCCTTAAAGCTTGTTCATAGCTTTCATTCCAATTAAAAAGATCGATGAAAGTTCGTTACATAATTGATTCATCTAAGGTCTAAAACTCACTGAATGTTATTTCCTGAACTCATTTGAAAATCACTTTAAAAACGCCTTAAAGCTCTCTTAGCTTACATCTCAATAAAAATCTAATGGTCAATCCAAGTGAATTAAATTTTTTTAATCATGCTGAAAGCTCGCACAACGTTATTTTTAAAAGTATTTAAAGCACGCTTCAAACTTGCTTAAAATCAGTTAAAGTTTTACGCAACTTTACTCAAAACACACTTCAGGCTAACTTACAGTTTACTTTAACTCAACCCAAAGCGCTGCTAGCCCTAAGAGGAAAACCCTCTCTCAACGCCAAATGTCATTTGTCAAGAATCGAAAGAGAAAGACGAGCTACATCTATGGCCTATACACGCATACACACCACATGAATAACATATGTGTATGTGTGCATTGCCGAAATTCGGTTCTCTATCTATAAATCGTTAGCTTACCGCAGTCGTCGCTGTCGCTGTCATCGATGGTGCTCGCCTGATCGCCGCTGATGCTGCTGCCCGTGCCGCCCAGCAGCATGCCGCTTGTGTTCCCGCTGTTGTTGTTGATGTTGTTGTTGCTGCTGCCGCTGATGTTGTTGTTGTTGCTGCTGCTGCTATTATTGTTGTTGTTGCTGCTGCTGTTGCCGCCGCCGCCACCGCCGCCGTCCAGCGAATGGAGCACAAGGGGCGAACGCGATCGCTCATCTTGGCCATCGACAAGGCCGCCGGCGCCGCCAAGCGGTACATTGGCGCCATGACGATGCAACGCCTCGAGGCGTTCCCGTTCCAGCTGCAGCTGATGGTGATGTGGATGCGGATGAGCATGCGGATGTGGATGCGGATGATGGGCAAGCGGATGTTGCGGATGTGTGTGCGGATTTAGAGGCTGTAGCAGCAGCACAAAGGAAAACCCCAAATGGGATATATTTATTATTTAGATGGAGTAACAGAATAGAAATTTTAGGTAGATGAGCTCGAAGAGCCTTAGGGGAAAATAGATCATAATATATAAAAAATTGGAGAGACGAGAACTTTGAGCCATTCCTAGATTTCTATATAATAATTATAAAATATAATTTCTATATAATCTGAGAGCCTTACGATGCAATTGATAAAGCTGTAATAGACCCTAAAATTTATAAAGAAAGATGCACAACAGACTAATGGATTCATGGATTAGTTGGACTAATATAATATATGATAGATAGATAGTAAGATATAGGTACAAATATATAAATATTCTAAGATAATCTGAACTGAAAAAGATTCATGACTTCATGGATGGAGAGTTAATACACTAATAGATAACTCTAAAATCGAATAGACTTTTAGGAGTTACTAACCCTTGAAATGCAAAAATACTTCCTTAAAGTTAACTATTGACATTATGCTAAGTGCTTACGACTTTTGAGGATAAAAGAACAGAGTGTGGAATGAGGAATTTCAAACAGAGTACACTCACTCCTCAATGAGGGTAGACTGAGAAATGGGGAATTAAAGCATCCACAAATAGGGCTAAAAGCACTTGAATTGCTTGAAATTACCTAAATAAAACTAAAGTCTAACTGAAGATATTCAGCTGATCAGCTTATCATAAAGATTCCCTATCTTCCTAGAGCTTACCTCCGCTCTTCAGTCCGCAAAGTTGAACTGATTGGTTGATTTTATGATTCTATACTCATTCATCCATTCTCTCTCTCTCTCTCTCTCTCTCTGTCTTTTCAAACTCTCTCATTTGATTGATTATTGATTGATTAGATTCGCTCACTCACCGTATTCCATGGGGCTGCTGTGTGGCAATCCTTGGTCAGCGGTGGCGAGTTTTCGCGTCCCGCCTGCCTGGCGAAGCGATGTAGATGGGCGTGTGGATGCTGCTGCTGCTGCTGCAGCACCGCATAGTGGCTGGGCGGGAAGTGGGCCAGCAGTGGCGCCACATGATGGTACTGCTCTCGCTCCCTCTCCCGCTCACGTTCCCGTTCCCGCTCCCGCTCACGATCGCGCTCACGCTCGCGCTCGAAGCGCAGCAGCTGCTGCTGCTGGGCCAAGTAGTGCTGCAGTGCCGCCTGCTGCTGGACTTGCTGCTGCGTCTGCTGCGCCTGCTGCTGGTGCTGCTGATGCTGTTGCTGTCCATCACGAATGGGCGACGGCGCGTAGCAATCCTCGGGCGGGCTGGCCGAGCCGCGTCCGGCGGCGGCCGCCATGGCAGCAGCGGCGGCAGCAGCAGCGGCAGCCGCAGCGGCACTGCCGGCCAATATGTCGGTGATCATGAAGCGGGAGCGCGGCGCCTGCGTGGCCGAGGGCGAGGTCGTAAGGGTGCCCGGTGTGTCCCCAACGGCTGCCGTAGTTGTGGACATTTCCGGTGGCATTGTGGTCATGTGGTGGCGCCGACTCCTTCACTTGTCTCGCTCCCCCACTGAGCTTTGCCGACGGCACAAACCAATATTCAAATAACAATAACAATAAAAAAAATAATACAATTGGCAAGATATTCACGAATAACGGCGCTTTTTATGTTTATTTGTGCTTGGCACTCGCGTCTTTTCTATCAGCGCGCTATAAGTTTGTCCGCTGTTCTTTCTGTGTGGCACAAGAACCGAAACGAAACGAAACGAGACGAGACGTGAAACGGCGAGACGAGACGAGACGAGCTCAGCAAAAGCCGTGAGAGAACCGCTCGCCTTTGGCTTTCAACCGAAACTGAGCCAAGCAACGGACACAACGGGCAACTGCTGCTGCCGCTGCCGCTGCTGCTGCTGCTGCTGCTGCTGCTGCTGGCGGCTGTTAACGGCCAAAACAAAAACACGTAAAAAAAAGTGGGGAGAACAGACAACAAAAGCAAACAAACCAGTCGAGTGCTCAGCGCGCGCACCTGTCGTCGTCTCGCTCACACACACCCGCGTGCTCAGCTCTCGGCCGAGGTGAGTTTCGCATGGTGTGTTTGTTGCTGTTGTTGTCATCTATTGCCTGCATTTATTGGTCGTAATTGGCAGCAATTGACATTCATTAGGTTTCAATCAGCGCCAGCGCTCTCTCTCTCTCGCTTGCTCTCTCTCTCTCTCTCGCTCACGTTCGCTTGCGCTCCCGCTCTCTCAGTGGTTGTGTACTCACATTTGGCAATGGCCGCGACGCTGTGAGCGCTGGCTGCCCAATATAACGGTTAGTTGGCGTGCCATAAACATTTTATGGCAAAGCTATTGCTGCTAGCACGCATTGCTGTTGCTTGCTGCTGTGCGAATGACATTTTAGTTGCCATAAAAATCACACACACTGCCATTTTAGTTGCTATAATAATCCACACTGATATAATAACACTGCTAATTAATTGCATTGCGAGAGTGTTTTATAGCAAGTGCGCGAAACTCAACACCAAACCGAGCAGCTGCTGCTCTCGCCATGCTGCCATCGCTTTTGTTGTCGTTGCTGTCGTTCTTGTTGCTGTTGTTGTTGAGGATGCTGCCACCCTGTTGTAGAAACGTGTATAATCCAGCATCTGTAAGCTCCGCCCCAATAAACTGGTTAATACACACGCACAGCATACAGAGAGACAACTCACGCACTCGCTCTCACCACAACCTATATAGCGTGACTGCTCTAACACATGCCTGGGCTGCTACACCAAAGGGGCTGTCTGGATGGCAGGCTCTCTGCTGATAGCAATTGCCCGTATGTGTGTACATGTATATGTGTGTGTGTCTGCTTGTGTGTATGTGTGTGTGTGTGTGTGCGAGTGTGCTAGTGTGAGTGTCTTTTGTTATTTTTGCGCTTGTTAACACTTTTTGTTTGGCATTTAAACAGTAAATTGGCAGCAGTTAAATGATGCGCTCTCCCTCTCTGTCACTCGCTCGCTCGCGCGCCATCAGCCGTCCTGCTCTTGCGCACGCACACACGAGCATGCATAGTTTCTCGTGTAGTAGTTGCTTAGTATCGATGTCAATTTGCTGCCTAATGTGCAAGTGAATGAGTCTGGCAACTGGATCGGGTACATAATATAAGAGCAAAGCTCTGGCATGGAGGCTGAGGCCCGATGGAGAGAGGGCAGTGGCCAGGCGTGCTCTGGGCGGATGCCGAGATGCTGATGCCGATGCTGTTGTTGCTGTTGTTGTTTTTGTTGTTATTTTGATGATGGAGTTTCGCTTGGAGCAACTGCAGACTGCAGTTGTTTTTGCTTTGGGTTGTCGTTGTTGATTTTGTTCTTGTTGTTATTACTTTTAAAAATGGCTTCATTACAAATGACTACAATTGGCGCTGCTGCTGCTGTTTCTGCTGCCGTAGCTCATATTGTGCTGTACATCTTATTATTGCTTTCCTTACGACATGCCCAAATATGTGCGCGTAAATGTGTGTGTGTGTGTGTGCATTTACATACTGAATGTATTGACCCACTATTGTTATTCTTGTATTTGCTGATTGGGTGCGACTCCTGTTGTTGAATCTTATAAATTGATCGAAACAAGCAGCACAATATCCAGAACAATAAGAATATTGTAAGCGTATTTAAGAATATACATATGTACATATGTATATTAGATATAAATATACCATCAGGATAGCGCAGCGAAATTAAATTATCTACATTGAACTCAATATGGCAACCAGAGTTACCAAATTCTTCTTCAATCTTGGCTTCAAATCAAGCCAAAAGAAGGGGGAAATTCCATATTAAAGCTTTCTTTAATATAATATAATATTATTAAAAATTAAGATATTACTTTATTCGGTTTTGCTTATTTTGTATTAGTAATTACTTATGTAGGTAGAATAGATAGCCAAACCACATTAGGAGAAACATAAAATTCGCTTTAATTGCAAATAAACAAAGAATTGGTGCATAAGCGAATTTTCCAAAGTATAATAGTAAATCAAATTCAACTAATGATCAACAAACTCTAAAATTAGGAAATTGAAAATGTCAATACTCTAAGAAAAACGCTTGAAGTAGTTTTCAATTCACAATATCTAAAGTATGTACATATGATTATATTTGCTTGACGAACATCAGTAAGACCGGCTGTTCAACCCGGAAGGGGTTGAGTTTTAGCCCAATAATCCCCTACGAATCGCTGATTTAGCATTCAAATACTCCGGCAGAATGACAAAAGGTTTTTGAAATGAAATTCCTCGCACCATTTCACACAATTGAAGACACGAATTCGAAGTCAAAACATTAAAGTCTTAGAGAAGACAGTTCATTCGAGTGACTTAAAAATCATCGATAACACTTGAGGATAATTGGCTAGGAAACTTCACTTTCTAGAAACATTCAATTATATAAATTTTGGTTATAGATGTACAAAATATAAAAAATATATATGTATGTATATTGCTATTGAATCTTTTTTTTTTTTTTGGTTAGCAAATATTTTCGGGAATGTCTTGAGTTGTATTTGAAGAAGAATAACACCAAAGATTACTTATAATAATCAATAGATTTTTTACAATCATCTACACATCTGAATTATAATAATATGTATAAACAATATAAATTTACCTTCTCTCTAAATTGAAACTGTAAACATATTAGTTCTGCATATTTTCCAAAGTAAATGTATATTGGTCCATTGTAGAGCTAGAACTCCCAAGTTGAACATGCTATGGGGAATAGATATTGTCAAATGCAGAATGAATTCTGATATTAGACCTTAATTTTTCGACTGCAATATTTAGAGTTATGTTCTTTTCTTTATTTTCATTTTTAGTTCTTTTCTATTATCGCTCTTTACAGAGATTTGCACAGATATCAGAGCTAAACTATGGAGACCTGAGAGCCTGTACTGCAAGCTTAAGGTTTGTTTATATTTATTGAATATAGTATGTATATTTGATTATGCATACTATTATTATTATATAGTAACATATAATAAAGATGAATAAAAATGTTAAGTAGATAATGTCGCTCTAGGCTCTCTAATAGATATATTTGCATGGAAAGTTTGCCGCCATTTTGTTTTGAGTTTGTGCTCCTCCGTTCCTCCGTACCGCTCCACTCCTCTCAGCGCTGCTCTCACGAAAATTAATACAGAGCCGCAATGGCAGTTCATTAAAAATGAAAAAAGCCAAATAAAATAAGAGATGAGAAAATGTTCACACTCGTCCCACAAGTTATTTAAAAAGACATTAAAAATGACACATGATGTGCAGACGTGACAGCACGGCTGGTGGTGAGAGTGGTGCGAGAGGTGCAGGTGTGAGTGGTGCAGGTGTGAGTGCTGGCCAGTGATTGCGTGGACTCATTAAAGTGGCTACAAAATGCCCCGCTGCCCATTAAGGGCTGCCCGATTGATGCTTGGTTAGCTGCGTGTAAATTTCACACCGTTGCTTGCTTGTTTTTGTTTTTGTAATTTTTTTCGTTTCTTGTTTTTAATTAGGTCTTGGCACTCAGTCAACGCTGAATGCCGTCAGAGCTAACGGTTAAAGCAACCAGCCAGCCAGCCAGCCAGCCAGCCAGTGGGCCGACCAACCACCCACAGCTACCCCCAAGGGATGCGCTTAAGTGGCTATGGAATGGGCCTGGGTTATGGTCTTTGAAGGTGTCGTAATAGCACTCAACTCGCTCTGATTCCAGATAAAAGAGAAGCCAGAGAGAGAGTGAGACAGAGAGAGAGATGGACTCGGGGTGGGTGAGCAGCAAAGCGAGGGGAAACGCTTCAACACAAACAAATTAAAAAGCACTTAACAAACGAGCAGCCGCTGAGAAGGCGAGCCCAGGCAGCTCCTCCTGCTCCTGTCAGGCGCCGCTGCTCCCGTTGCGTGAGCTATTCGGCCGAAGATCATTTAGAGCTCTGTCAACGCCGCGAGCCGAGCTAAGTTGGGAGCTGGATGCTGCGAGTTGAGAGCTGAGAGCTGAGAGCGCAGAGCTGTGAGCCAAACTCGTAAATTTCGAGACTTTGGCCGTGGCGTGTGGCGTCAGTCAAAGCGAATTCAAATTGCCCAAGTTAACATCCTGTTGCGGCGCGATTTGGAGAACTCAAAATGGGGCCGCTTCTTAATTGAGGTTTAACACAACATTTACCGCTTTTTGCTAATCGCCTTGAAGCCGCCGCCGCCGTCAGGGTGTGTCGAGACCAGATCTGAGATTCTGTTTCGGATCTAGGTGCCAGACCCTGAGCCGGAGCCAGAGTCAGAGCCAGAGCTAACCCCTGACCAGTACGTGATTTCATTCATAACAAGTAAGAAAACTCTAGTCGAGAGTGCTCGACTAGATACTACCCTGAACCAAAATAATAGAAAAGCACATTTAGTATGGTTCAAATTTCAATTTCGATGTAT